AAAACTTTGTTCTTTTAACTGAGAGAAAACCAAATTTTAGATTTGGATCAGTACATTATTGAGCTTAGAAAAATCCTTACAAAAAATTAGCATCTTGACCACACATAAAATTCCTTTTCCACAACTTCTACAACTTAAAAAAAAATATGTATTTTGCTTCAGTGATACTCTTTTCCCCTTTCTCATTTTGGAACAATCACTCATCTTACTTCAGGACAAAATGACTCTTTTTTTCCTTAATGAAAATGCATTTTTCATATTTTATGCACTTTTCTTCATTAAAAACATATGCTACTACCGTTGTATGTTTTGTATACAAAGTTGTTTCCCTACACCCTTATTTCTAGTGGTTTTAATTATATATGTATTGATAATATTTTTTAGCCATCATTCACCTTTTGCAGAAAAAACTAGGAAGTGGACAATTGTGAAGTGTCTGTCATATACCAGCATTATGTATGAGCACATTAGCAAATTTCGTGAATATACCATCCCACACTTCTTACAGGTATAGGTTATTTTTTTATAATATAATTTTTCATGTTTATTAAGCGGCCCAAATATATTTTAGCCTCTCTAGCCATATGAAAATAAGAACCCAAAAGTATATAAACATAAACTTAGATTTAGTAGTATTTTAATAGTTTATCTTGCTTAGAAATGATCTAGTTACTTAATTAATATCTATTTCTTAATTTAACTTAGGATAACTCTAAGGTTTCACATTACCAAATATTTGGAAACTGTTTTTAGGTTATAATAATTATAACATTAAACAAGGCTAAAAATCACTTCATTATTTTTCTGTTAACTAATTTTATAGCATGTGCATTTAGGCAAGCATCAAAAAATCAAAAACCTAAAAATGTTAAATATATGGGCTTTTGTTTAACTGCTGTGCTTAGTATACATGAAGTGATGGATACTGCACTTTTACTTGTTCATTCTTAGGTTAAATTTATAATTTTTATAACTTTAAACATTTAGTAGAGATAACATATTAGAAAACCCAGGTAGAATAAATATGTTTGCTCATCCTTAATACTGATAAATCAGAAGATATACCCTTTTTTATTAAACCAACAATATTAAAGTAATCTTATTTCCCAAAGATTTACCCAAGTCATATGAAATTGAAAATGATTTGAGTGAGTTCCTATATTTCTGGGAGTTTTAGTAATATTTAATTTATGTCTCATTTATCTTGTAAGCCAATTTGAATATAACTCCTCCTTTAAGTAATTTTATAAATTAATTTGTAATACCATCTGGAAGTAGGGAAATATCATTTACATAATATGCGTGCATACATACAAGCATATATAAACATACAGATGCAAACAGAGATCTTACAGCTTTTATTCTAAAATTTTAGCCATGAATCAGGCAACACAGTAATACAAAACTCACTGGTTTATCTCCACTTATATTTTTATCTGAATTGTGTTTCTGACAAAAATGGGACAAATTGAGGTTACCTACTCAATAAGAGCTAAAGATTAGGGAAAAGAGCTAATGCATGCTGGGCTGAATACCTAGGTGATGAGTGGATAGGTGCAGCAAACCACTATGGCATATGTTTACCTATGTAACAAACGTGCACATCTTGTACATGTACCCCAGAACTTAAAGAAAAAAGTTAAAAAAAGGAATATGATAAAGTCTCAGTTATAATATATGTAACTTTTTTTTTGGTTGTTCATTTTTAATGTATTTTTTAATTGCATTTTAGGTTTTGGGGTACATGTGAAGAACATGCAAGATTGTTGCATAGGTACACACATGGCAGCGTGATGTGCTGCTTTCCTCCCCTTCACCTATATCTGGCATTTCTCCCCATGCTATCTCTCCCTTACTCCTTTTTTAAGAAAGAACATGTTAAAAGGAATAAATAAAATGTAAATGACTGAAGAAAAACAAAAGAGCTACAGCTTTTTATGAAGTTTTGTGGAGGCCTCCAAGGACCTCCAAGATTTTCTTTTGCCCTGATATGTAATCCTATAAAGGCTGAAGACTAAATTTGAGATCAGAGACTGAGGGCACATCAAGCAAATGTCTAGATGATTCCAGAGTCAATCTGAGTAGATGAAATATCCAGTCTGGGCTGGGCACAGTGGCTCACTCCTGTAATCCCAGCACTTTGGGAGGTCGAAGTGGGCAGATCCTGAGGTCAGGAGATCAAGACCATCCTGACCAACATGGTGAAACCCCATCTCAATACTGGGTGTGGTGGTACGTGTCTATAATCCCAGCTACTCAGGAGGCCGAGGCAGGGTAATTGCTTGAACCAGGGAGTCAGAGGTTGCAATGAGTCGAGATTGCACCACTGCACTCCAGCCTAGCAACAGACCCTGACTCTGTCCAAAAAAACAAAACAAAACAAAAAATCCAGTCTGTTTCCAAGTAGCCTTTTTTTTCAGCCTCAGATAGTGGCTTTCAGGTATCTCTGAGTCCCTCGAGAGGCCCTGATGTGAGTGGGAGGATTAAAGTTCAAATGCCTGAGGGAGTTGAGCTGGAGTGAGAAGGGAAATGTCTGTCAGGGGTGGACAGAGAAGCGGAGCAGGCAGGGGTTTGAGGGGAACATATCAAGGAATTCAAGGGAGCAGAAGGGAAGATCGAAGGTGGTAAGAGGAAGAAGCAATGGGAAGGAAGAGACTATAGAAGGGCCAGTTTGAGGAGATCTCAAGTTCCTCAAAGACGCCATTGGAGTTCCAAATAATCCTCAGCAAAATCATGCCAAATAAGAAAGGAAGTAGAGAGAGCTGGTATGAGCAGGGTTTCAAGAGGAGGAGTTTCAGACAACTGAGCAGTTTCTATGGGAGAAGCAGGATCAAACAGAGAGAAAAGAGAGGCCTCACAAAAGCCAGGAAAAATAAAATTTCCAGCCTAGTAATCATAGGGCGGATCCTTACTTGAAACAAAAGAGTCAGGAAAATATTCCAGGCCAGAGAACCAGGAAGTAATTAAATAAGGGTGGGGGGCAGGAAGATTTTTCTAGCCAGGACCAGGACCAGGAATCAGAGAATATATATAACTCCACTCCAAACAAAGAGCCAGGAAGAAAGACTTCCAGCCCAACAGGTGCCTTTTCTTTTCGTTTTTTTGAGACAGGGTCTCATTCTGTCACCCAGGCTGGTGTGCAGGAGGCTCAGGTGCCTTTCATAAAAAGCTGCAGACTAACCCAGCTTCAGAATCATAAGAATCAAAATGCATCCTCACCATGCTTCAACAGACTGCCATCTGAAGCACTGGCTCAAGAGGCGGACTTACCAATGGATTCCTGATCAGTCAGCCAAGAGTGAAGACAGAGGTTTCAAAGGTGCATACTTCAGGTTCTGGATGAGAGCTCCAGGGGTCCAATGGTGAATCTGATCTTATCTGAGTCACAGCCAACATAACTGTTAAAAAATTATTCATGACACTTGTTAAAGATGGTAAGGAAGACTCTATTCCATGGAGGACTATCAGAGTAGCTACAGCGACCACTGCAATGGGGTCAGTCTTGCAGTAGGAGAGAAAAATTGGCATTGACACCCACTCCAACAAGAGTAGGTAAAAGGCAGGGTGGAGACTCAGTGAATGGAAAATTACCAAAAGGAAACATCAGGGCTAAGGGGGATTCTTGCTAGACTGACCCAACAGGGCGACAAGACATCTAGTGTGGGGCATGAGGAATTTGATCAGCTATTCAAGGAGGTCAGATACCAGTGGTGGGGAATTTTGAATAAATTAACTTAGTAGGATTCATGGTCAAACTGGATTCTACAAGCCCAAGTTTAGGCCTAGTCGAGCAGAGGGCCTGGAGGAGCCTCATTAAGTTTGGTCAAAGGAGAGAGTCTTTGTCACTTCCTTTTACTTTTGATGTTTGTCATCTAGTGTAAACAGGTAAGAAATTACAAATGACTCCAAATGCTGTCACAGAGAATAAGAGACGCCATAAAAGCATAGGAAGGTCTATTTGCTGTGGGTAGAGGGGGTGTCAGAAAATTGACCCTGAAAGTCAACGATGATTGAACTGAAATCTGAAGAGGCGCTCCAGGCTGCACGAAGAACCTGGGGGAAAAAACCCAAAAAATTCTTAGACAGGAAGGATCATGAATGCTCCCATAATTGGAAGATTGAAATAGAAAGCTGGAGGTAGATTAGGAAGAATATAAAGGAAGAAGGCTCCAGATAGATGCCTGAGTAAACTGGGCAGATTATAACAGCCACTTTTCAGGTTCTTCTGAATTTGGGTCTTTATGTCAAGAACAGTGGGCAGCCATTGAAGGGTTTGAAGGAGAGATGAAGATCTGATGGGTGTTTTGAGGGTGGATGAGAGATTGGACAGCAGCAGGAAGAGATATGGGGGCCCAGTTCAATGGCTATGAGTGAAGTTGCCATAACAGAAAATGGTGATTGGAAATAGGGTGGTGGCAGGAGAGATCAAATGAGCCTCTTGAAATATTTAGGTCACTTCTGAGGGCTGGATTAGGGAATGGGCAATATGAAGGGACTGAGGAGGACATGCAAATTCCTAGCTGATGCAAGTGGCTGTATGTTGGGGTCATCCACCAAGACAGGGAGAGGAGAGGAGGACCAAGGTGTGTGAGGAGGAGGGAGAGTGTGGATGGGCACAGGAGAGAGGAGCAGAAGGTCATCACCTTCTAGCTGAGGCCTCTCATCTTTCCAAAGTTGTGGCTTTCAAAGTTTTGACAGTGACCCATAATGAGAAACATTTTACATAGCTTTCCTGTAGGCAGATAGGGTGTACAAAAGTTTCTAAAACAATGCTTCCCGTTTCCATGTGCATCCAAAGGGTATCTCTTACCATATTTTCTTTTAAAAGGGAAAAATAAAATGATGTAAGCATGCGCCAAGAGGCAGTAAGTTAAACGGTAAAGGCAGCGATAACAGCGAAAGCAACGGTAGCTGTAACGGTAGCGGTGACCGCAGCGATAACGGCAACGGTGACGGCAAAAGCAACGGTGGTTGCAACGGTAGAGCTAACGGTAGCGGTCATGGCAACAGTAACGGCAAGGGCAATGGTAACGGTAGCGGTGACGTCAGCGGTAACAGCAACGGTGATGGTAAAGGCAACGGTGGTTGTAACGGTAGAGCTAACGGTAGCGGGGATGGCAACAGTAATGGTAGCGGTGACAGAGGCGGCGACCATTGTGATGCCATACGCAACGTCCTTTGTGACACCAGGGCCTTGGTGCTACAACTAGGGCGTTGGGACAGACTGCGCTGCAGTTTCAGACCGGAGGGATCCTGGCGGCTGCTCAGCTGCCCAACTCTCTCGACGCCCTTGTTTCCACAAGGATGTCAGCCTCAGCGTCTACCTCCTCACAACTGCCCATCAAGGGTATCCTGAAAAACAAAAGCTCGTCGGGTTCCTCGGTGGCGTCTGCCGGTCAGCAGTCTGGAGAGAATATTCAAGATGCAAAGAGGAAGAAATCCCAGAGGTGGGACGAATCAAGCATCCTTGAGACATACCGCGCAACCTACAAAGATTACGGTTTAATGAAGGAAGATGAGCCTAGCACTTCCTGCATGAGTGCGCAAGACCATAAGGAAGATTCAGCGTATGATGTTGAAGGAGAGGAAGCTGTGACCCTCGACGCGCTACTTAGAAAACTAGCCGCCACTGATACTTCAGACCAGAGCTGTGAAGTGGAGGAGCCAGAGAGCACTGACGCATACGTGAAAAAAATCCTCCTCCACAAGCAGGAGAAACAACGGCAGTTTGAAGTGAAAAGAAAGCTTCACTGCACCGAAGAATTGAACATCAAATTAGCTAGACAGTTAATGTCGAAAGACTTGCAAAGTGAAGATGATGACGGTGAAGAAAGGCTGCAGGCCACTGCCGAAGAGAAAACTGCTGCAGAAAAATCACAGGAAGCTCCTCTAAGCGACGAATAGCAAGTCCAGTCATGCGACGCATGGAAGATATCTGCTTCACCCTTGCAATTGTTTGTGAAATACAAAACTTGTTAATGTAATACACTGCTTCTTGTTTTCTATAGCGCATGCGAGAAGCACTAAATTACTTAAATTGTAATGCAGAATTGAATGGTAATCTTAGAGAGTAATAGATTAAGTGGGAAATGTCTGCTTGATATTATTGGTAATTATTTAACACCAATACAGATCCTGATATTGCTTTTAATTTTATACAACCATGTTGCTTTTTATAAAACCATGGGTTAATGTATATATTCTATAGCTTTTTAATATGTTAAAGACTTGAAGGGGGACTAATTTATATTCCCTTCTAGTTGTACTAGCTGTTGTAGAAAAGGTTTTGTTAAAAATTTAAAACATAATTGGTAAAGTAGATTATCTAGGCTGATAAATATTCAGGCTAAAAAACACTTTAGGGTGATTTACTGTTTAATTGAGAGGGAATATATTATGAGTTATTTCTGAATTTCCTTATAGTACCTTTACAATTTCTCTTAATTTGTGTTTACAAGGAAATGACTGAACTTTTTCTCATCAAAAGTAGCCATCTTTCATGCATTACCAGGTTAAAATTGCAACAATGTCCATTTTGTTTTTTGTACAGAGGATGGGCAGATTTAGTATCAGTAGTTTTTTTTCAAATTCTAAATTAGGAGTCCCTTTTCATGCCTATCTTAACCTCCATCCTTTGTTCCCCAGTCCTCCCATCCTATGCACATCCAATCCCTTACCTTTATGGAATATCATAGATAGTCAGGACATTAGAAACCCATTTTTCTCTCAGATATTCTATGTGTTGCAACAGTGTCATTTCCATTTTGAGCATCACGGTCTTCTCAGCCTAACAACATGTGGGGTTACATAACTATTTGAATGCAAAAAAGTGATCTCCATATGCCTGCAGAGTGAACACCTGCCTGCAGATGCGTGCTTCTTTAAATTCCTTCTGTCTGAAGGTGAAGACAGAAAGCTCAGCCCTCGTGACCTGTTCTTGCTCAGAAGAGAAGGAAACCCAACTCACATTTGGCTAGACTTGGGGGAGGGATGGGGTTGCAGAAATTATAAGGGAAAACCATAGATGACTCACAAGTGGGGGGATAAGCAGATGAAGACATTGGAGGGAATAACATATGTTTCTACATGGGGGAGGGAGGTGTGTCAAAGAATCATTTTCCACAAGATGATACACTATTGTTTACCTAACACAATACCACATTTAGGTTATTAGGGAGAAATGTGGGCAACGAGATGAGGGACGAAGCCTCCAAAACCCAAATTTGGGGAGGAATACAACCAATAATTTTTAATAAGAAACTTGATCAAATTAGCACCACCATTTTATAATTGAAAAAGTCAGCCCATAAGAGACAGGATGCAACATTCAATACACATTCAAGGGGAAGCAGAAGAGACTGAGCTCTCAGCCAGTCCACACTGGGTGGGCTTCAGCAACCGAAGCTGCGTGTATAGAGGCCTTTGGAGGATTTAAGAATGCAGACTGCAAAAAGTCTGGGGAAAACTGAAAATTGTGGGTGTGTGTCTGTGTTTGTGTGTCTCTGTGTGGGCACAGGGGAAAGCTGCCTTGAGCATTCTTCTCTACCAGTATAAACACAGTTCTCTAAGACAAGGTTATACATTATTAGCTCCTGAAAAATAATAAGGAATTGTTTTTATCATTGTGTAGGCAGAGCATTTTTTGCATCACTGAACTTGCCTATGCATGCTGGGTACAAAATACCTTATTCTTTCACAAAGCCTTCTTTTTCTTCATCTTTTTTTGTTTTAAAGCAGGCTCTTTGAAAGGTGCATATGAACCCGGTTTCCATAGCAATTGCAAGCATCAGTGATAACCCAGAGCTTCTAAGTTATAATATACAGGCTACCCTATTAATGAGTTTCAAACTGCATTTCCATGAGACAACGGCTCAGCCACTGATAGATAAGGTCAGACCCCATCTTCAAACTTTAAATTAAATCAGGATAGATCAAAATGCAACAGAGGGAGGGGTATCCTTTTGGGAAAGTATGCTGTTAAAAATATGTTCTTTGTGGAGGCAAAACAGTTGCTTTTGTGGTTTGTAAAGCCCAGATGAAAAAAATATGAAACACATACAGCTTCTTCTGGGTTACTAATGGCATGTTGTCATTTTCTCATGCTATTTGTGAGCAAGTTTTTATCATGGTATCTCAGACTCTAAGAAAGGACACAATCCTTTGCTTTAGGAAGAACAGACATATGGCTTACTTTTTGCCAGATCTCACATAACATTATGTTATAATTTATTAAATTATTTATTTATACACTAGGTGCCAAGACTCTGTGCCTACCTTTAAGGAGATACCAGTTTATTGATGGGAGGGCTCAGCCATGTCACCAGGCCATTTTTATACTGTACAAGAGTGCTTCACAGAGGTCCTCAAAGGACATCACCCAAGGTCTTGAAAGGTCTTCACCTGGAGTGGATATCGAGGATAAGACCTGGAAGAGACATGAAATTTAACCAGTGACAAGAAGTAGATTCATGGAGGTTAGCATTCCAGATGTAGGTAAGGAGATGTAGTTTCCTTGGGGAGCTGCAAGGTATTCTGTGTGGGAGACTGTATGGGACTAAAGAGGTAAGAAAGGCTATGAAAGGATTCAGTTGCCACACAAAGGCAATAGGACCCACTAACACTTTTAAACAGGATAGTGACATGATGAGACTCATGTTTTCGAAAGACCACTATCACTGTGGGGTAGGGCCTGAAACAAAACAGCATAGAGAGACAAAGCTGGAGAGAGGAGCACAAATGTGTGACATGCGTTACAGGAAGCGTATGGCTATAACATTCAAGTGCTGAACCTCTTACCTTGCACTCACGGCAGAGTCACACCCTGCTTTATATCAGTGCCATGCCGTGTGGCCCTCAGACTGGCTGCATAACCATCACCCAGAAGCTGGTTAAAAATCCTAATTATCAGGCTTCATCCCAGACCTACTGATTCAGCATCTCTAGGGCTGAGGTCTAGCGTTCTGTGCTTTAACAAGCTTCCCACAGGATTTTTCTGGACGTTCAAGTTTGAGAACCACTGTTTACAGCATAACTTTTTAATTAGCTGAGCTCAACTCTGTGGGACAGGTCTCACTTGTGTGTGTGTGTGTGTGTGTGTGTGTGTGATGTGTATACAATTTTACAAAAATACATTACATTGAATGTCAGAACTGCACATAGGTTTGTTGAGAAACTTTCACAGGTACGCTGCCAGGTTGAAATCACAGTATACTCAGTCTGTTCCCATCCCTCCAAAGCAACCCTTTCTGTAGTCCCTCCTCCATACCCTGCTTATACACTATGCTCCTCCCGGCACTGGTATAGTTGGCATTTCCACTGCCACCCACAAAGTCCTAGGACTTCTCCATATCTTCAGCTTTACTTGGGCTATTCTTTTTGTCCAGAATATACGTCTTGCTAGTTTTACTGCATGTCTCAATTAGTCTTCCACATCCAATATAATTCATCGTGCAAACTTCTAAGTCAGAATAGTGGGTGTCTGCCTTGGGGGAGGCAGAAAAGTACAGTAAATGACAGTGAAGAATTTGGAGTCAAAAAGATCTGGATTTTAATTCAGGTTCTGCCATATATTAGCTGAGTCACTTGAGGCAAAGCATTTCACCTCTTAGAGCCAGTTTCCTTACACTCAAATGAGAATAATAATAACAATACCTTCCATTTCTGGTTGTTGAAATAATTAAATAAAAAAGTGTTAGTAAAACACCTGGCTTTTGGTAAGTATTCAGTAAATGATAGCTATTATTGTTCTCATCTGCACACATTTTCTCTACGTCTGTTAAACCCATCATTTCTGTGATAGTGTTTGGTTTCTGAATCTATCTCTCTTTTCCCACTGGACTGAGAGCCTCTTGGAGATAGGAGCTGTGCCCATGCATCTGAGATCTCTAAACACAGTGCCTCATACTCAACAGATGTTGTAGAACGGAACTGAGAGGTTGCACTTGAGCAGTTTTTCCTCCTGTCAAATTGTATTCTATAATTCGCCTATGATTTACCTACTCAAATACAGTTTGTTCTCTGAGGCTCCTCAAGTTTTAGCTCCATGAGCTGTGAGGGGTGCCGGTGAAGACAAAGTGAAAAGATGACAGTCCCAAAGGGCAAGACGTGAGTGGCAGCTGCTTCAAATAACCTTCTCTTCTAGGATGTCCTTGATGTTTTCATCATCACTAAGTTTGGAAAGTAGGAGATGAAATGGGAGGACAGCAGGCAGGATTTAGATGGAAAGCCAATCTCCATTTTAATTTTAAAATGCATTGAATCTTCTAGGACATAGCCAAGTTTGTAAAAGTAAGGAATTAATTTTGTCTCGTGAATCCAGACCTCAGGTAAGAACCACATTCAGTTGTTTATAGTAACACATGACACTTTTATATTTGCAGAGTGTTTCTGATTCTTTTTTTCCTTTTGAACTCCCTTTATTAATTGCTATTGACTTTCATAGCAACATAAAACTTTTAGAGCTAGAAAAGGCCTTAAAGACCCTTTAGTCCAACTGCTTCCCATTATAGGAAAAGTTTTGTGTCTCATTAGCAGCAGAGATGAAATTATCACCCAGGGCTTATAAAGCCAAGGGGAGACTAAGTTTGTATATAGCAACAAGATCTTTCTCTTTATATATACAGGGAAACTAGATTAAAAACCCATTGAAGTGTGTTTTTGAGTTTGTCTGGGGGCTGCTGTTGTACTTAGAACTCAGAAAAGCCTTCTAGAAGAATATGACCTTTCTTAGAAAGCCTGACCTCAGACCAGCACGCAACACGTCTATTGGCTGATACTTTAGCTTTTCAAGCTGCATAGAGTGCACCTCGCTCCCCTGGTAGCACCTGAGTATAAGATAATGTAAGACAATAAGAAAGATTAGTGATGTACCTGTGACAGGCCACCACCCCTGAATTCCTCATCTTCTCTGAGTGACAGAAAAGGAGGCACTCATGGTCCCCTCACTGTCTCTGTCTCCTCAGCTTCCTCATTTGTGAGATGCCAA